TCGTTGGATTATACTCCATTTGGACAGGGTCAAACACCCAAGGTGTGGGTGTTTTTTACTCCTCTGCCATGGGTGAACTGCCAGTGGTTCATCCACCCTGGGATGTTGACTTTTTGCCCTCTCACTTTAGTGCTGTCATTTAAAGGCTGCGAGTAGAGCTTCCTCAGGCTCCTTTTGAGATACCTACTCGCACAAAAGCATTTTTTGCGGTGCAGGGGAAAAGTGATCGGTCACAATCCAAGACATCCACTCCTGAGGCTTTCCGATGCAAATTACTTGATCACCACTGTTCATATTCATGTCCTAATATCCCTGTTTTCTGTGAGTGCCGATTGCAAATTTTCTAAAGGAATTGAAACTAACTACCCATTTATACGATTCACACTACCAAACGAACACGCACTTAAGCAAACATCCTGTTTCACAGTCAACGGCTTGAGATATATATTCCAGATTCATTTGATTGTAAATATATCTTGAGGATGAATACCCACAGTCATCGAAAACTGGTCGCTTACAAACTTTCCTTTGGATCCTGTGGTTCGGGGTTCAAACCCCGCCACCGCCACCCAACTCTGGTGGGAAGCAGCTTTGCTGTCGTCCGGTTCAACCTTGAGGGTCCTTATAAGGTTCGCCACTCCAAGCCCAGGAGCTTACGTTACCGGTACCCATCATTGAACAGCGGGTTATCTTGTCTATTGGGCTTTCCCCGTCAGCTGTTCACCACACTAAGGTATGCTATAAAAAACTGTGTCTGGATATAAATCATCCACATAGCTTATCGTTTGTAGATGCACACCAAGCAGACCGCAGTTCTGATAAAATTATTAAGTTGATTTTAACAACAGTGTAGAAAGAGCGGCCCCATCAAACTCCGGATTCCGATCTCAATTCTGGAAGGTTGTAATGTTTATTATTTTTGTGACTCAGCAACCTATCAAAGGTGTTTTCCTTGAAGAACTACATTGGGCCTATCTTATTGTTAGGGGTGTTGCTCCGGGTGATGGTAAAACCATCTACCGCCGAACTGAGAGCTACTCCACTACCCCCAATGAAGCTCAAAGACTGCTACTACTGTTCAGAGGAAGTCTAAAGTATCTCGCTCTTACGTTGGTCTTGCGGGCTTTTGATAGACGAACTGCTCACCGTTTTTTTTAAGTGAATTATCTAGGAATGATTGTAGAGGATCACAGGAAAAGTCGCCTGCTGCCCCCATCAGCTGACCTTTTGAGACCGGAATTTATTCAGCTTCTGCTCATTAACGTTTTAGGCGCGATTAGATCTGTAGACTCGGTACAGGTTTTCACATGTACGGCTGGTTTGGAGCGTTTCTCCTTTCAACCTCTTTCATTGCTTTTCCATACATGCTTCTTGAAGGAACAGAATGTACCAATTACCGTTCTCTACCCTGACCAATAGGCTGAGTTGTGTTATCCATGGTGCTCCGTATATTTATAGATGATCACTAATCTCTGATTTTTCAAACAGACACCGTCCAAATCGTGAATCACTCTGAACGTGAGTACGAATAACTTCATCTGTTGGGCTCTCCTGCTGTGACAAAAATCAAAGCACTTAAGTTGATTATCGGTATACGAGCGTAGCAGAGTTCATACGTTTAGTTAGGATGCCGAACAATGAAGCTGACTAATTGAAGACTCGTGACACCGATGGGTCAACTTTTCCTGTTTTTCGTAAGAACGTGGTCATAAAAATATGGAATGTTCACTTGTACTGCATTTCTGAACACACAATCACACTTACCACCCACTGCCACGGCAGCCGAAATCTCCTCGGAACACTGTTTCACAAATTCTGAACTAGGCATCAAAAGTTAGGCCGATATCACCATCATAATTGTACTCGAGGGTGGCACTTCAGTGAAGCAGGTGTGGTATTCATCTAAAAGAGAATGCGGTAATTGCAGCATGGTCCGATTTGTTAAGAGTTGCATCAACTTGAGCTGAGCTTTTATCTACTTCTGTCACTGCTCCATGAGTCGGGAATGATCTGAAAAGTGCATGGACATATCCCGTTTTTCCGCCCACATTCTTTCTCCTTCTCCTGTTCAGAATAACTTTTGTCAACACTTTTCCTGTTCTTTCTGCCGTTGTTCCAGACTAGTTAATGTTAATCTTCGAGATAAACAATCCTGCCTTTTATGAAAATCCGTTTCTGAGACGATGAAGTCTGTGAGCAGGTTGTTGAGTGCTCCATAGGAAGCTATATGATGATACATGACGGCATAGATGCACCAGGAGCATAGGTAGAATAAACGAATCCGGCCATCCGGGGTGAAATCCAAAAGTTTCTTTAATCAGTTTTGGCTATTATCAGTATTGTTATATTTCATGTGCCTCTGAGTTTAGTCTGTCCCAAACAAATCACGGTGCAATAATCCTTATAACAAAAAAGTGTACGAACCACATCTTCCTGATTGTGGTAGTGGTCACCAGCTCAATGGGGCTCCGAGGTGTTTTGGATACCTGGGACGTGTGAACCCTTCGAATTATGTGTGAACTAGACACCGGCTTCCAATGGTTTATGGTTCTCACATCGCCTCGTTGCCTTGGCTGGACAAAGGCTTCAGTTGTGAATTTCCCAAGAAATTTCACCTGCCTCGTTCTGTACAACCTATCAGCCTTCCGTCCACGAGCGAATCAGGCAATCTGTTCAGAGGTCCGAAGTAAAGCAGGTAATCGTTTTTTTAACGCGATCAGGAGGAGTAGAGCCTGTGGTTCAAAGACACTTTAAAAAGGCAGATTTCCGTCTTTTTTTTCTGTATCAGGTCAAACGACGTAGTGAACCTAGATCCATCGGTCCGAATACAATTCAGCATCCTCAGATTAAACCCCAGCAACGTCTAAAGATGCGTTTAGCTCATCATTGAACCAAAGTATAACAGCTATAATGGAGAATGAAAGATCATTGCTAGTTGTAGATAGATGAGAAATATGTTAATAGTAAGTTGACAATTACGGCCATGAAAAATAATGTATTCCTGTGTGTCTGTCTATACAGTTTGACAATACGCCATGTATTTACTTTTGCGATGATAATCTCATCATAATCAAAACCCTCATTCCCCGTTTGTTCAATGTCTACTTTTTTCAGCCACTGGATCTACCACTGAGAATCGGGTCGAGGATCACACAGTCCGTTTGGTGGAATTAGCTTTGGGTGGTCTGTCCAATTTGGTAGCCGCCTCATCCTCTGCTCGGGCACGTATTGCAACAGCTCAGGAACTTGCTTTTGTCGTCGCTTGTTTGGCCGCTCCTCATCCGAATATTGTGGTCCACGCGCTGACCATACTAATTCACGTATTCACTCCATCTGTGCGCTCCTTTCACCCTGTTGATCAATCGGACTGCGACCTTAGCACTCGCTTCCCAGCTGCCATACGTGCCGCGCGTGCTTATCGGCAAGCTTACATGCACTTTGATCCATCCAGTTCCGTTCGCTTGTACCCTCCAATAGGAATATTATCCACAATTTTATTGGAGGATTGCTGTTCGCACCCAAGTCGATCTCCATAACAATGCTTTTGGTGACGATGACTCGGTCTTTTGGTGTACTATTTCATCCGTATTTAGAGCACAAACTTTTTACTGTGTCATTACTTTTTCCGAAGTCCAAATTTACCCGACTCTATTGTTCCCGAACCCTACCTCGGAATCAGTGCTGTGCTCAGTCGGTAAAAATGCTACAGTCGGATTGTTGTGCAAAAACCGCAGTAAGTTTCCCATTGATTAGAATGTGACTGCGATAAAGGCTGAACAATTTCAGTGTCCTATTCTCTGCCCCTCTTCCTGTTGTGGTTATTTTCACCATCTTGATACCGCTTCAGCTTTTGTGAAATCTAAACTACAATTATCTGAGCAAGCATATCTCCTCGTTCACCTTAGCACTTTCGTCCATGGTTGTGACTCGATTGAAAACGTTCCAAGTCTGAGTGTGAAATAGATTGCTCCCTTGGTCGTTGGCCACTTGAGTAGTATGCTTTTTTCTATTGATGAGGTTCTGGATTCCAGTGAATTCGCCTTACTGATGAGAACCATCTAGGTCGAAAATGCCACATAGGTTATTTTTGACAGACCATTGTGTGGTGAAAACCGGACGAGGTAATCCCCATAGTCGCAAAGACCTGCTGTTCAGGATGATGAACACTGACAACCTAAGTCCCGGACTTAGAGTGGCGAATCACAAAAGTCGTGATATTTCACCGGACGACAACAAAGTTGCCTACTACCGAAAATGGGTAGCGGCGGCAGGGTCCAAAGCAAACCGGTTACAGCGACTAAGCAACTGCACCACCACCACCACACTATAGCTTCTTATCTCATGTTTCCTTTGCTCTGTACACAGCAAAATTATCATATAATTGGTGGCCAAAAGACACCAACCAAAACCGGCACACGAAAGTGCTTGGTTAATGGTTGTAAAAATTGAAAAAAAACAGCTGATCTGAAACTGATCATATAATCATAAGAACTTACCGTAACCATGGCTTTTCTGAACGCTTTGGTCACATTTGTTGAAAAAAGTTGCATAAACATCGTCACTGGACAGGAGAAGAATACTATTGGAGTCCATTGAGTGAAAACCTACACATCAAGACGTGCGCAATATGCGACTCAATTTCCAGTGGATTAGCACAAGTATGATGGAAGCTAGTATGGGAGGTGAAGAGTAACAATTCTTCAGCGAGTTGTTCGTGGATTAGAACAACATGGCAGGACGTCACATGTGATGCTTGGGTTCCACGAGTACGCTACAATAAAACCCCTGTTGTTTGAAGAATTAGATAATACACTAACTAAATCATATACATGCAGGCAAATTAAAAACACTGGGATTCACGACGAAAATTGTCGAACTCCTCTACACTGTAAAACCGAAAATGCCTTAAGCGTCATAGAACCCATCAACAGCAATGTACAATGAAAACATCATTGTCATTTTAGGTTGATATTTTCGGAACAATCGAACCTTCAACTATCTTTACGGTGGTTCCGTAGCAGACTTGTGATTTAGATTTGTCCAACTTAGAAACTAAGGTCAATTTTCGATGATTATATAATAGGCAATATATGCCTGACTGTACAGTCTTGTCCGTTTATTCAAATACAACTGTATATTACATTGAAAGGGAAGTGCGCAAAAGTCTTGGAGTCTTCGTTTTAATCAGTCGGATAATCCATGATAGTTCAGGCTATGTTAAATAAACGGTATTTGCTAGTGTTCGTGAGAAGCTACCGGTATAACTTTCAATAGTTAATTTCTCATGGATGCCGTGTATTTTACTATTTCTTCCGTTATTGCTCTCGTCTATGTGCACCAGTGTTATTCTTCTTACTGTTTTTTTCTTATTACATTCGCCTTACAGGATTCTCAGGACTTATTACGGGACGCACTCCGACAGAAACAGAGTTCGGATGTGGCATTCCATTTGGACAAACCACCATCCTTATCTCCCAGTTCATCTATCACACCGGATCGTGGTCAATCGTCCGCTCCCCTTTCGGCCTATTCTTTCTTTCAGGTTAATGATGGATCATGTGATCCGCATAATATTTTACCAGCTCCAAAATCTCAACCCACTATCACTGTCATCAATTCAACCCAAGGTGAGCTGTCAATTAGTGCCCACGCGCTCACTGAATTTGCACATTATTTTAAGCTTGCGTAATATTCACGTCACCCTTGTACGCACCGATGCTATTGCTTTTTGCTTCCTTTGTTTGTCTCAGATCTATCATTTTTGCTATCGACTTGTCACTCCATCTCTTCTTGTCTGATTGCTCGTTTTTCCATATCGACGCATGAGTCCCTGATTCAGTTCGTACCATCGTGAACTTAACTTTTTAATTTGTCGGCTGTGGTTGCTATCTTTTAGCAACTCGTTTGGCTGACCAATAAAGAAAGGAGTAACTGGGCAAACCATAAAGTTGTTAGTAGTACTGCAGACAAACCAGATCTGAGTCGGAGTTCAATGTAGATGCGTCGGCGCTGCCGCTTGTGATATTCTCTCTTAGAAATCAACGCCGGTAACAGTGGATTCGGTTGATCACAATATCCCCAACTCTACCGATCTTTCCGTCATCACTAAAACTTTCCGGTGGGAGACGATAAACTGAATCCATAAAAGGCTGAGTTTCGTGGGAGTTTGGTGAAAGAGAGATCCCCACTGTTATCCCGCTTTTTTCGGGCACACATCTAGGTTGTGCGCAAACAAGTGTGGACTGCGTCACCGTATTGTAGTAGTGCAACGGTGACGATGGCTGTCTAGGAGTTCATTAACCATTTGATGAATATGGATATAACCTAAGTATATATTTTTTCCCTGTTGGTTAGATGCACCTGTTTCACCGTTCACATCGATGGCAGACTTCGTCCACTCATTTCTGCCTTCACAAGCCAGCCGTACATCATCTTACCGAGGCTTCTAGGCCTCAGTTCGGTTTATATAATTTGATTCACCTGTTATGCGGTTAGCCGGAGTTTGAAAATTTGTTAAAAATCAGCGTGCTGGAGTATGCCCTATTAATGTGACAATCTTCCAATTCTGATTTCTCGTACACTCTAACGTCATCTTTATAGGAAACTTCCCTCGTTAGGGTACTCATGGTATTTTGTCAGGCCATGGTTTGACCCCCCTCTTGTCCTTAAGGTGGTCGTGGTACTATGGTTTAGTCGTAGTCCCTGGCGTATACCTGCCCATCGGCTTCTCTTCTCTTTGCACGTGCCGGGCAAGGCTGGAAGAAGTAACACAGCTGTCATACCATGACATAGCGTAAAGGTATGAAGAAGCTGACTTTTATTGGTCCAACACATTTGTAGCTTTTCCAGCGACTGTCATATGAAAGAAGAATTCGCTCTAGGATAGGTTTATTCACTGGTCTGTGTATCACATATAATAGCCAGTACTATCTATAAGTATGAACAAGACGGTTGAGGGAGCACTTGTCTTCGATGGTCCATCACTTGGCAAAACATTCATTATATGCGGCATCATCTTTCACAGAAAAAATGAATAGTGACTTTTCAATCAGTTTACGCGTTAACTGTATTTCATATTTGTCCCGTAATCACAATTTCATTGAATTGGAGTCGATTTTTTGCCATAACTCTTTAATCCACTTTACCGTTCCCTTTTTCTTCGTGCTGGTTTTTAAAAAGAACGACAAGACTCCGCCGGAACCCCCCGCCCGTACTCCTCTCCACATCATTCAAAATCTCCCAGTCCGGAATCATCATACACCGATGCTGGCCGAATAACCGTGTCTCTGTCTCCTGCCGGATCCACCAGTGCACTGGTCCCGTCACACTCGTCCTGGACTCAACCGGCTTTTCTGCCCATTGTCGCCGGTCTGTCTAAGGCACGCTTGTCTGGATTGGTTGTGTCCACTGCCATGGTTGGCTGTGCACTAGCCGCATCAACCACTCTGGCCACACCGGCGTTCCTCTTACACCCGTACAGCACTCTGCTCTGTTTGGCCATGGGTACCGGACTAACCAGTGCCGCGGCGAATACGATCAATCAGGTGAGGCCTCCATCCTTGTCTCTCGTCAAGACTGTTTCGAATCGATTATGGATTTATCATAGTGAACGATCTGATGTTTACCGCATTCGTAGAACTGTGGTCATTCATTCCGAGCCCCGAAGGAGATCGTAAAGCACAATAGAACCATATACCGTAAAATTTGAACAATTGAGCCGTTTTTCTGCATTATGCGCACGAATCGAAGTGGTAATAACATCGCTGTGATTAGGAACAAACAGTTGAGAGACAGGTAAGGTGCAAAAGCCTCATTATGGTCGGGGATTGCTGTCTAGGGTTACGGCTGGTCACCCTTCCGTTGTAACTCTCGAAATGCTCCCATACAACCAAGCGTCTCAAATATTCCCTACTGAGGAAGCCCTACTCACTGCCTTCTCGCGGCTGTATTTTCCCACCAAAGTGAGAGAACGACATCCGGGGCTATGACCGGGTTGGTGGACCACTGGTAGTTCATCTAGGGGAGTTTGGCCAAAAGTCCTGATTTCAAACCAACCAAGAGGAGGCGTACGAACCACACCACCTTTTCGGTTGTGGCAATGATCCCCAACTCCATTGGGCATCGAGATTTATTGGGCACTTTGAACGTTTGAACCCGTCCGAAGGGTGAATGATCCGATGAACTGGACTCCAGCCCTCAATAGATTGTGGTTTTAACACCGCCTCGCTGTCTTGAGGGTCAGGCTTTCGCAAGCTGAAGGCTCCGGTTATGGATCCTCAGGAAAATTCACCTGCCTTGGCGTGGGCAATTTGGCAATATTCCGCCCACATGCAAATCGTGGAACGTTTTTCTTTTTCATAAAGACTATTGTACCATGATTTGCTTGGCACACAGTCTGACTTACAGTCCAGTGTAAGATATAATAATGAGGTCCAAAAAAGAAAACGATCTGGGATAAATCACATGCAACCGTGAAAGGCAAAACGGTAGCGCAGTGTAATTCAAAATGCATTTTGAAATACACAACAACAGCTACAAGCACTATCGCCGGTTGATTTGCAGAAGACTGGCCCGAAAATGCTTTACACCAACATTTCGCTCCTATTAGTTCATTTAGGGTGGGTAGCGAAAGAAATAAGCCCAATATCTGTGATTGAAGCGAGCGTGGTGGCCTAGGTTCGAGCCCTGCACTGCCACCCGACATCGATGATAAACAGCTTTGCTATCGTCCGGGTCGATGTCGTGTCTATCCCATTAGGGTATGATGTAGTTCACCACTGGGACCGCGAGTTCTTTAGTTGCTAGTTTCCATGAGTAAATAGTGGCTCTTTGTGACTAAGGGGTTTATTCTGTTTTTCATCACAATGGCGTGCAATGGAGCAAGGGATTAGTCCGCTCCAATTACTCGTCCCACATATGTGTGCTTTGATGATCATATGCTGAAGGCACACAGTATATTGAACAACCTTGTTCTTGTAACTTATTCTTCGGAAAAATTTACAGTTATGTTTGTATATAAGACAGAAAATAGTGGGATTGGTTTATTAGTATAAAGTGGTAAGAACATCAGCGTCTCTGAATTTCTATGGTAACACATGGGGAAGTTTTGGGAGACCAGGGTCACTTCTGGAAATTTCTAAGGATATTTTTTACGTGCAACGTGTCACGCCGTTGTGCATCTTCATAATCCGACTGAGGTCATGACCAAGGGGAGCCATAAGACACCAGCCAAAACCACCTCACGAAACGGCATGGTTCATAGTGATATAAAATGAAACATGAAGATGTTCCTACAAGACTGAGTTGGTACAGCACGCAGTCTCACCATAACTGGGAAAGTAGTAGAGGAAGTGGACACGTTTTGCTACCTGGGCAGCTATATCTTATCCGATGGACGCATCACGGATGAAGTGCCAGCTCGCATACAGAGGGTTCGTTTGACATTTACCAAATTGAGACGTCTGTCTCGCGACATCCAACTGTCCATGTAGGGCCGAGTTTATTCTGTGGCAGTGCGGTCAGTTCTGCCCTACGATGCAGAGACTTGACCATTAAGGGGAACACGATAAAAGTAGATTGTCGGTGTTCGAACTCCACTGTCTGTGCAGCATTACACGAGTCTGGTGGGGGAACTGGGCGAGCAATGATGAGGTTAGGTGCAACATTTTCGGTAATCGCGGTTTCTTACTGAAGCAAGTGGTCAATCTGCATACAACACGCAGGTAGTAACGTGTGTTGCGTACGTGCCCAATAGATTGCCACAAACAGGCAGTGGACAGAAAACGGTCAAGGGCGCTCAAACCCAGACCTAGCACGATAGTATGAAAACCCCAACCGATATATTGGACCACATAGTTAGTTTCGTGGATGGGGACCCCGAGATCGTGGCAACTTGTTGTTAGAAACACTAAGTGATATGGCTGTGTCGCAAATGGTGGTGTTCGTGCATCTCATTATTCTTGTAATCCCGGTCTATATCAATTATCCATCTTCTCTTTGAGTCTGCTCTGAACATTCCATTTTGCTCTTTTATCCGAACGGGCAGCTAAAAGATCGCAACCACAACCGGCACACGAAAGTGCATGATTAATGGTTGTAAAAGGCAAAGTTGTTTATTCAGGATGTTTCTGGTTGTTGAGTTCATAAACCATTTTTACATTTTTAGAGTTTACGTAGTTTGGTTTATATAGATTGATTGAACGAAATGAAAATTTAATCACTAAATAAGTGTAACTATCGGAGCACTATGTGCTGTTATTAAAAAAAAACTCATCCGGGGCGTAAAACGCATCGTGAACCCAGACTTGTTTTGCTCTAGCTAGATGTCATTAACAGCTTGATCCTGTCAGAATGGGTGCGCACATTTAGCCGTCTTGATCAATTGCTGATTCGTCCTGGTATTATGAGAAACAACTGTGCAACTCGTAACGAACTAATACGCAACATGTGAAATCCTGTCGATAGGCGCAACCCAAAACGGATTTGAGTTTGTAGCATACGTCATCGAAATTCGGCTTAAGGTGATTCCTTGATGTTTGTATTTTTTTTTAATCATCTCTGCCATGGTGAGTTTTTACGTCATGGTTCTTCGACTCACTGATAACTGTTGCATCATCTTTAGGATCGTTTAATACTTCATTGCCCCCTAGCAGCAACTCAAACAGCTGATTCCACAAGTCGTTTCATTGATTCGCAAGATTGATATCATACATTGCTGACCCATTGTCTTTATTTCCTCGCACACTAAATCCATCCCTTAGAAGCCGAAGTAAAATATATCAACCATGTGATTGTTTTGATGAAACTGTGGTATCTACTTA